CAAAAGATGCTTTATGTCATTTTACTCAAAATGTAGATGATGGTTTTGACTTTAATGGGTACAACATATTCTCGATTATGCTTAAACTTTAAAATGGAAGCCAATTACCCCAATATCTTATATCTAAGCATTTCTAAATTACATAGTATAAACTATAAATTATAAGGTAGCAAGCGAAAAGCTGTAATAAAGTCCAGACCGCGAGTCTAAGGCATTCGTTACAAACTCTGAACAATGTATAAAGCGTCACCCTACTAACCACAGAAACGACGAAATTATCAGCCCCTTTAGCAAACGAAAACCTTTCTCTATATATCTTCTTTAACGAGAAAGAGACAAAATCCGTCACAAATGAGCCATGAAAAAATATTGTCACTTTAAAGGCAATATCCGTGCGACGCATGACAGATGGCGCATTATTCGCCCCAAAACCAGAGAAGTGTCTCCGAGAACACTTGATGACTTTTCCTATCGATTGGAAAAGTTTCTGTAGACAAGCGCTAAACTTGAAAAGAGCGAGAAAAGCAAGATTGTATTCCACCTTTGGCAATCTGACATTCTCTTTTGTTTGAACGCGGAAATGATTACGAAATTACAGATTTCGCAACAACGGAATTATTTGCGATGTACATGGATGACGTAAATGAATAAATTACTTGGAAAAATTTGAGGACGTACATACAAACTGCAAAATTTTCTTCCTGTACCATTTTGCAGTTTAAATCTACGTGACATGACTGTTGCTAAAACATATTTCTGGGTAAATTGCAACATAAAATGAGATAAAATAATACATAACCATCGAAACTACAAAGTTTTCTTCTTTCGCTTGGATACATTTTTCCAGCATTTTTTCTGATGATGGCTATAGTACTCAGTGCGGCAGCTCGAGCTCCTTTAGATGATGAACCGTTTTAGCATGTCTGCTTACGCCTATGATCAGCGGGAGAATTTGGAATTCTCCTTCAGTTCATATATGCTTTTAATTGCTGTCCGATCTCTGTGTTTGTTTGCCTTGGTCTGATATGTCTGAACCAAGTTGTGGTCGAATGGGAGCGCAAAAGCCAGGATTATCGACTTTCCATGAACAGGAAGAACCCAGCGACCAACGCGCAGCTGACACTTGACAACATGCACCTGAAGAAAATGCCAAATGAGATTCCGGTTGGAAGTCTCCCTAAATTTGCTTTAGTTTGGTTAGTTTAGGTTGGTTCTATCTTCGTATTTATTATTTAGGTGGATGAAATTAGAAACAGTGTAAATATAAAGGATTTTTTTAATTCAAAATATCACCTCAAAACATGTGGGTAAGTTTTTAGGACTATTTTGACAATATAGTTCTGAATTGTCTTTAGCTCTTTCAAGTGTACATGTGTCCCTTTCCCATGCCATGCTACAATGCCATAACTGTTAAACCAAAGCTTTATATATTATTATATATATTAGGAGTTTATGAACTAAGATTTCTCTCAATAGATGAACATTGTGGATTAAACATCTCACTTTTTTACAAATATATAAGTTCATTCCGTCTTAAATATTTGTCCATATTATCGCATTGCGTCAAAGCTTCAGTAATGTTATCAATTAACAGAATATCACTTGTTGTCAATATATGAAACAATATTTCTAATGATCTACCAAAAGATGACATCCCGGGTGACCATCGTTTTAATTGATTTCGTTAACTCTTTTTTCAACTGATAATTTAATTATTATTTATAATTTGTCAGTTAGGTATCTTATTGTAAAAGTTTTTACTGTTAGAGAATAGTATATTTTGCAACAAGTGCCGTAAACGGCATTTGACTCACGAGTTTATTTGACACGAGCGGAGCGCGGCGGAGCGAATGTTTAATAAACGAGTGACTTAAAAAGTTTACCGAACGTGTTGCGTACTATACTTTTTCTACGACCGTTAGTTTTTGGGTACATTTTCGCAAAACAACTCAAATACATTCACTGCCATGAATTGAAAAAACGTCAAAATTCAAAGCGTGGCAAATATCTCTGAAAACATCCGATTGCTCCAAAATCCGTGCAATAAAATCCCTGAATGTCCGAAGTAGCTCGGATTCATGGGAAACGAAACCGAGGTGGTAAAGTGACGCATTCGGCACGTTAGTTCGGTGTGTAATTAGGTATTTGACAGACGGGAGTGGAAAAAATATATTCCTAAATTGCTTCTCACGTATATGGATTTAAGAAGTATGTTTAGGGTTACATACTTTTTCCTAATACTTTTCCTCCCTCAGTAGCCCTAGGTTGTTATTATCATCGAATCGCATTCGTTTTCGCTAAAATAAAAGCAAATCATGTTATTTTCATTCGCGGTTTGCGTCGAACGCTATCGCTTAGTAAGGGAACAAGTTATGGGGATTAGGGGATAAAGGGATAATGTAAAACATTTCCAAAATAAGCGCAAAAAATCTACATTAATCGTGCATATTTATTAGATGATAACACTATTTTGTTTTGAGATCGGTTTTGTATAAGACGACATACATTCAGAGTAAAAGACTCAGCGAAAGGTCACTGAACAATATTTAAAATGAATAAACAATAGAGCCTTGTTACATCAAGAATAACTGTGGAATTCCCAATATCGCAAACAAACAGACATCGAAATTCCAATTTAACAGCAACAATATGCCCTGTTCACAATTATTTGCCTCGCCTGCTCCTCGCTGGAATCAAACGGACTCACTGATCGGAAACAATTCAATTAAACTAATTAATTACACCTTAATGACCACCGGTCTCAATATTGGAGCAAATTAAACCGGTTTACTTAAATTGAATGCCGTATTCCTTATTAGTGAGAAGATATAAACGGAGTCGAGTTACAACCTTACCATATGAAAAGATAACTGCTAATTGAACTATCGATTTCGAATTACGATTCAGAAAGCATTGCGATATTCATTGAAATTAGATTCTCAAATTGACCGCTCGAGTTGCTTATTGTGAGAATAAATTCAGTTCAATCATTTTTTTTACCAAGGTACCAAAATTTGCATACATACACCATGTTATCATCGCTAGAATCTTCGAAATAGTGGTAAATTAGTTTTTTATTCATTATCGTCTTTTGTTGAAGTCAAAATTCTCTTATTGGCCATTTAATACCCGACAAGATTTTTGCCACGGCTGTCAAATAATGGTTACATTTTTTAATAGTTGTCGGTGTGTCGAATGTAGAAACAGAAATATGGAGGCTATTTTGCCACATGACGTTTTAATGTATAATAATTTGTTCAGTGTGCAAGAAACCGAAACAGGTGCTAATAGTATATTATGCAACCAGTGTGGTAAACGTCATTTGACTCACGAGTTTATTCGACACGAGCGGAGTGCAGCGAATGTGTTGCATACTATACTTTTTTCTATCCCCGTCTTTAATATGCCTAATTACACACCGATCTAGCATGCGGGAACCGTCACTTTACCACGTCAGTTTCGTTTCCCACGGATCCGAGCCACTTCGGACAGTTCCTGGATTTTACCGCACGGGTTTGGGAGCAATCGGATGTTTTTGGAGATATTTCCCACGCCTTGAATTTTGACGTTTGTCAATTCTGACGGTGTTATTTTACGAAAATGTACCCAAAAACTAACGGTTCGATAAACTTTTTAAGTCACTCGTTTATTAAACACTACCTCCGCTGCGCTCAGCTCGTGTCAAATAAACTCGTGAGTCAAATGCCGATTACCGCACTTATTGCATAATATACTATTTTCTACGACCGTTAGGTTTTGGGTACATTTTGGAAAAACAACACGAATACATTCACTGACATGGCCGTCAGAACTGACAAACGTCAAAATTCAAAGCATGGGAAATATCTCCGAAAACAACCGATTGCTCCCAAACCCGTGCGGTAAAATCCCGGAAATGTCCGAAGTGGCTCGGATTCATGGGAAACGAAACTGACGTGGTAACGTGTCGCTTCCCGCATCCAAGATCGGTGTGTAATTAGGCATTTTACAGACGGGAAAAAGATATTTTTCAATACAGTTGTAGAAAAAAAATTCTATACAACGGGCCATACTTCAAACTACGTTGAACCCTTTATCGTTTAAAATCACTTAATGAATTATATTTTTATTAGCGGCAAGTTTGCATTTACTTCAAAGTTATCATTGAAACAGAATGGAACAACTATAGCCATCGAAACAAGAATTTGCTGTTTATTTAAGCCATCTCATTTTAAACGTTTGCTCGCCTTCCTTTTAAGACCACGAGAGCGCTTTCATCACATTAATTTATACTATTAAACTATTGTTTTTTGAGATCGTAAGACAGGACTGTTACCCAACACTTTACATTCTATATGTCGCACATGATACAAATTTTAATTCAAACTTCCGCCAGGGGGTTGTATTCAGATTTCAAGTGAAGGTTTTGGCTGCGTTCTACTAGTTGCTTTTATATAAAAATTCTAAATATCAACATTGTTGAAGCTATAAGTATTTCATTTAAATTTTATTTAAGGTTTACGTTAAAAATTTTATTTATACTGTATATTACCGCAGCTAGAATTAAATTTTTAACTATTCATTATAGTGAAAAAAAGAACCTATCAATTTTTTGGATATTTCTCGAAATAAGAACTATGAAAATATTATTTCTAAATGCTTTACTTCCGATCGTATTAGCGGTATATATTTTCGACACTGCTCTTCTTAAACATTGCTTGTATGGTCCAAGGAAATATTAGATTGATACTTTCGAAATTGATATTTAGGGTTGACTTATCGTTTACGGGATGGAGCACCCTGACATAGAAGTTTATTAGCACATTCCCCATTTAATGCTACTATACAACTTTTCAAAAAATGTTATTAATAATTTCCATATTTTCGTTATTGAAAAGTCTTTTCCCTTAGCAGTTTCCTTAATAATTTTTCAATTTTTATGCTAGATTTAGGCTAATAAAATAGAAACTACATCAATCTACATGTGTACTAAAACGAACAAATAATTAATTTTTGCTTACCGATAACTGTAAAATTAACTTTACTGTTTCTTGTGGGGGAATTTTTAAAGTCAACGCGGCAGCGATAAATGCCCTCGTCGGAAAGTTGAATATTATCGATCACTAGTGTAGCGGGGTTTGTCAACGGCCAAAAATAAGCACGAGTTCCGAACACTGTCGGCGACGACCACAATTTCGCGTCTTTGTACGTCCTTCCACGAACATCATAACTGAAACAAAAGGAATATTTAGCTTTATTAAACACAAGGAGGACATTTTGATAATTGGTAATTTAAAATTAAAATTGTATATATAGCTACTAACAACCAGAAAAGCAATAATCAGCATAATATTTTTTTAATTTCATGAGAGAAAATTATAAACACCACAAAACAAATGAAAAAGGCGCAACACATTATAAAAAATTAGAAATAATACTAAAGTTAGAATACGTAATCCAATTTAAAGATTGTGTATTGTGCGCTTGATGTACCAGCAAGTTGTGACACCCGGCTATTCCGTTTAAACGCGGGAATGATCTGGACGTCATACCGCCGCTGTTCGATCGGTACGGCGACATGTTATAGTATTATTCTCAGGTCATAGGCCGAGAATTATAATATTTATGTTTATTTTTGGCTCGTGTAAAGGTGTGTTTGTATTTAATCTACGCAAGTGTGTATTTGTGCTTAGCGTGCTTTACATGATAATAATGGAAGCAATACAAAAACAATATTACAAATGGTGCCATCGTGTTTGCGCACAGCCCGTAAAATGCCAGATAAACTTTTTATGCTTCTAATAAATAAATAAAAGCCGTCATTTTTTGTCAACATTATGTTCAGGTGTCACTTTAGCCCATTGCAGTCTGGTGGCTGGCGCGTTTTCTTACGAGCGAATTGACGTCACAATCGGTCATAGCCAATAACAGCGCTTTTCAAAGAGGATTTAATTTTTTTTTTGTGAACTGGGGTTCTTTTATAATCCATATTTTTCAAATTAAAATTTTGTTCAAATTCCCTATCGTTGAAAACTAGCTTTTAAGAGAGATTCTGTGGCAGTTTATATAGCATACTTTATAGAAAAATGAGAATTAAGCAAATTTACGTAGCGCTACCTGTTCTCTGTTCCCGTTACAGTTTTGATTTGGCAGGAATTCCGAATCAACTCAGCTAAACTACACGTCCTCCATATATAAAATATTATTATTATTAACGAAATTGTTACGATCATGCATTTTATTTTTTTAATTGAATTTCTTTAGAAATGATTGGAAAAGATTGTAAGAATAATTTTTATTTTAGAAGAAATCAGTGGCGTAATCAATGTCTGCCAAAATAGACAGGTGAAATTCCGTACGTGTATTTAAAAAAAAAGTGGTACACTAAATAATGCCTCTCATATTACATATACACATATCTAAAGTGGTGTTATATATACATATAACCATTTTAATATTTAATTTAACAAGAATACCCTTATTTAAATATGTCAAGCTAAAAAGCATAATTTCTGTTTTCGATTCATTTAAAGCAATACTGCACAGGTTGATATCTTGGATAAAATATCTAAACTAGCATTTGAGGTTGTGACGACCGCATCGTCCGCGTATGCAGCAACCTAATCATTAGGGAATTCCTGCATAATGTTATTAAAGAAACTTATGAATAAAAGTTTGCTCTGTCGAATCGTCTTTCCGAAAATCAAATTGGTAGCCACTTATTCAAAAATGATAATAATCTTTTATAAAAGCATTTTTCGAAGATTTTTGAGAAAACCGACGATGCACATATACCCCGGTAATTAGACATCAAATGCCCCTTATGAATTGGGACTATAACTGTCTATTTTAATGCACTGGGGAATCTAGCCTCTTCAAAAGATAAGTTAACCAGATACGTCATGGGTGCTACCAGACTGTTAGCAACAAACTTGGTAAGAGAATACGGAATCCCATCCTCGCTTGCTCAATGCCTTTTACAAATAGACAAAGTAATCTCGAATATTTCTTGCTGTTCATAAAAGTTTTAAAAAAAGTGAGTTTGTTATTGTCTTTTTTTTTTGTTTTTAGCGGTGATTTATTTTTATTTTTTATTTTGTTTACAGATTCTATAAAATTTTTTAAAATTCTCAAGAACTGCCTGATAGTTGACGAATAGGTTCACGTTCTCATCAATACAATAAACTGGTAATTTTTTGTGGAATTTTGAAGAATGAAAATTGTTTTCATGTTTGTGAAACATTATTTGATCTGGAGAATAATTTAACATAATACGTTTGCTTAGAATTTTTAGTTCTTCGCTCGTGAAGTTATTTTTTTATGTCTTGGAAGCGCAGAACAGTTTTTAAAAGGAAAAAGTGTACAAAATCTAAGCCTTAGGATAAAAATTTATAACATATATATAAATATTTTACGTAATTTTCCCTTTAGAAACAAATGAATTGTAATTCTATGGATTAAACTGGACAGGGCTGTATAAAAGCAATACCGATTTTTTTTGCAACTTTATATATTAGGACACTTTAAATACGTTTCTACACGCGATCTAATGTAGTATTAATGGTAGTTTTATTATATAATCGAGTTATTTCGGGTCACGATACTACGAATCGATTCTCTATGGCGTTAACGATTCAGTATAATTCACACGCAGTTCCGCTTATATTAAATGAGGTTAATAGTTTGACATAATTGACACTTTTTCGAAATATCGTTCCGTTTTATGCTTTGTAACGTGAATTTTATATAACCGATGGTAATGACGTGAATCCAATTAGTTTCAATTTTGGAACACTTATTAAAAGAAGCATACGTAATTTTATCGCTCATAATATTAAGAAGTATCAACATCCAAACAGTTATACTAATTAAAATGACAGTATTAATAAAAAAAATAACTAGTTAAGATTAATATAATGAATTCAATTTTATATTGTTTTTTCTTCAATTATTTTTAAAGTTGCATTCACACTTTCTTGTTGGTTTGTTATCAGCTGTGTCGGTTTTTGTGTGAAAAAGTGATTCCTATTATTTATTAATTATATTTATTTGAATAGTAGGTATACACTAATAGAGTGGCTATCGCAATTTTCATTTGGAGAAATTTCTAAAATCATCAATTATTTAATGATAGGTGGGTTCATTATGCAGTCACATAATATGTGCAAGCCACAACTAAATTACGCTAATCGACATTCTTTAACGTCAAGAATATAAGTTAAACCAAGCTAGGAAAAAATGTATCTTTTGTTACTTTCAAAAATTAGTTAATGCATTTTTTAATTTTCTTCATTATTTATTGACAGAAATACAATAAAGTTCTAAAAATTTGTTCAAAAGAGAAGTTATACAAACCTTTCTATCATTTTGGGGTAAGTATATTAAATTTGGTTATCTTTCATGCTTTAAAAAGTAAATTGTATTTACAAAATATGATTTAACTCTGATTGGTCAACACTTCATGGCTTTGATTTAAGTCCCATGTCGACCTAAATATAAAATTGGTTTTACTTATTTTTTTCTTGGTGCACCGTTATTAGTTTCCTTCTGTGTTTTTTTTTGTTTTTATTAATAAATATGCGTTTCTCTTATTCCGTGCTAAGCACTTTATATATGTACGAAAGTTAAGGAAGCGAAAATATTTTTCTTAATTCGCATATGGGTATCTATACTAGCTCATTAGAGATAGACTAGAACGACTTGAAATGGTAAGTATTTACAAAACTTCTGTATTCCTTCTCCTGTTGTTGAATCGAACTTGCTAACTGAAACTCTGAAGAAGTCAGCAGGATGATTAGCGAAACGTCAGCAAGTTCGATTCAACAACAACCTTCGAAATAGGAATCCAGAAGTTTTGTAAATGATATCAGAGTCGCCTGTGGCAGTTTCTTTGAAAAATTCACTTCAAATGGTTGTTTATTTATTATTTAAATTTTAAGTTTTGAATACTTCTTTCCATTCTGAACAATCTTCACCTCTTTTCCGACTTATTAAGTATATGAAAATTTTAAATTTCTTTTGTATTAAACACAGTGCTTTAAATATGCTAATCTGAAACGTCAATGCACTGATAACGAATTCATGTAAAAGAAAGAAGATTTCCCATAAATCTCTCCGCATTTCCAGAATAAGGGATTAATATTTCCATTTATTTTTAAAACATATCCATCCCTCTTAATCACTCGCGCTTAATTCCTTTAACGACTTTTTTCGGACAAGCAGCAAATACGCACTCATTTTTCACTTTTTCCGTGGAAGGTGCGAATAGAAAAGATTTATCACCCTGCCTTAAATAACTCAAACCGGGAAAGGTAACCTTCGTCTCCTTTTTTTACGGAGCAACATAATTGAGTTCCATTAAATCCTTAATAGTTCTACATTATTTTCGGTCGAAAGACTAATGTGTTGTGTACATTTCCTAATCGAAGTCGATCAAGGGAGCGTCCACTAAAATGCTATCGAAATAATAAACAACGCTCTTTCGATTATCTCCCTTTTAGGATTCCCTGAGTTGCTAAATTGAGGAAGTGAGACATCAAGCTAATTTAAATTCGAGAATGCGAGTGTTACTGCTATATTATTACAGTTATTAATTACTTCAAGCAGGGAAGCATGACATTATTTCACACATTAAATGATTTTATTAGCTGATTGAAGACATTTGATAATACAGTTTTCCATTTTGTTTTAATCGCAACTTGCTTGGTTAGTTCTACATTCATTAATTTACTTTCTTTCTTTTACTCTTCTAGTGAAACATTAAATTCGACCCGCAAACAAAAAGGAATTACAGCTATTAGTAGCCTGATATTAGTTATTACACAACGAAGGACATTTTGTTATTTGACACCAAACAACTGCATTTGGGTTTCTGTTTCAGTCACATAAATACTAATAAATAATAATAAAAAAACTCCCTGTAGTTGCAGCATCCGACGACAAAGTACGTTTAATATAAAGATAATTTTGGATTATGCCAAAAAAGTTTGAAATTACCTTACAGAAGACTCGGCTAAAGATGGAAGAGTTCAATAAGACACTCAAAATGTATAAGCTCGAATTTATCGATTTTTCGCCCTATCGGGGACCAAAGAATTGAGGAGGAGCAGGATATAATTAGTCAGTCACAACATGATTTTTTTTTTCAAAGAAACTTCCACAGGCTACTGTAACATTTTTTACAAAACTTGCTTCGCCAGCTTCTTCGGAGCTTGACTGACACTAGCTCGC